AAACTAATAGATAGAACAGAAAGAACTTACTCTAAGACATTGAATCGAAGAAAAATCTGGCGGATCAACTTACGAAGGCAGTATCGTCGAAGATTTTGGAAGATTACTTACTGCATATAGAAATCGTAGATCCTGCCAGGACATCAATTCGTAATGGAACAGAAATTCAGGTAGAGTGTTAGAGATATCTATTTATTTTTGTATTATGTTGTTATCATTAATAGTGTATATTAAAGCATACAAATGAGTTTTCTAATTGTGAAGAATAAAAGTCATTCTATTTATTAATTAAGATACTCTGCTGAACAAATAAAACTAACATCTTGTATGTGTAGTGTATTAAAAAGGTTTAATATAGCTTTCTTAAACAGTTAAACTTTTTTTACCTACATCTATAGGTATTAAGATCCCCATTATTTTGGTCACCAGCAGCCATTGGTAACAATTAGAAAATTCGTCTCTTTTCATTAACTGGTTGTTGCTATATGTAGTTTTCGTCATATACTAAATATTTGTCACTTATTTTGTGACACGAGCTTTAAAGCGCTCGTGCGCTCATGGAAAAATATTGTTTTGCACACACTTCCATTCAAAGCAAGGATTATATATGCAACAGATGAATAAAGTTAGATAAAACACACCGACTGCTGTGATACTTACTCTAACTCTATTCTATTTGCAGCTAGTAAGTATTCAAAGAATTGCATCCGCTATACTGGATATTAATTTTGTTGTTTAATGAGATCATTGTGACACGAGACACTTTACTTTAAATCTGTCATTCAGCACACACTATACAATGCTCCCTCTTTTATATGCATCAGTTTTATCACTTGACAATCTTAATTTAACTACTTTAATCGTGCGAGCCAGGACTGCCCGACCGTATCGCAGATTAACGAAGATTCCAAAAGGAAGTTATCTGAGTTGTCCGCCGTACATCAGCGTACCGGGTGTAACTGATTATTTGCCCACAACTAACTGTTGACCATCTATTAAACTAAGAATGTGTAGTTAACCTTAGATTGGTTTTCATTCATATATATTTATCTGCGCTTTTGTGAGTAATTAGTTGTCATACTGGACTAAGCTTATCATAATCATTAGATTTTTAAATAAAATGATTTTATCTGCAACTGTCAAGTATCTAAGGACTTTGATTTGACACTTATTACCGCATTAAACCAAATTAAAAATTAATTGGATGAAGAAAAATAGGAAGAAAATAATAAGAATAATGTGAAAGAGAAAACTTATTTATTATATACTGAGTTTCTAAAATACGATTAAATAATGATTGTTTTGGATTTCATGCTGATTTTAGATCAGGGTCCAAAATTATTAAAAGTTATTTCAAAAAACTAAGTGGTGACGTTAATTTGACATTCTCCAAAGTATACACTTCCTTAAGACACTTTTTAAATTATAATGTTTTTGCAGAAAAAAATCTAAATGGTCTTTTCCAGTTGCCTACAAGGAAGAATATTATTATAACTTTTTTTTGAATAAGAATTTTATATAAATAAAAATTTTCCTAATTTTATCGGTCAAATGTTTTTATTTTTATTGTTTAGCACACTACATATGTTTCGAAAAGTACAAATTTTTCCATCTTCAGGTGCAGTCAATTTATACAAATTATAGGGAGTAATACAGTTTAAAATTTTTAAAAATAAAAGAACGCCATCTTTCTATTTCACATCGTTTGGTGTATTCGAAATAATGTTTTATTTGTTTAATGTTTGGTTTGTTTTTCGTTTGTAAGAATAAAATATTGGTTTTTGAAATACATCTGTTGTTTCATAATAAAATGAAAATGTTGGATGTCGATACTACAGTACCACCTTTAATAATATCAGTAAATAATGACTCAACTCATAGTAAGTAAAAGAACTACTAACATATGGTATGTTCTGTTTCATAGAACGTAGTCGTATAAATACTTTTTAAATATTAGTCTGAAACGTTTAACGTTGACCTGCCTACTACTAGAAATAATAGCGCAATATTTTTTTTGTGAAGTAAGAACTGGTTTTCAATGTCACCGCTATATATGCATTTAAAAATGATTATTTAAGCAATGGTATTAATAATTTCTGTCAATAATAGGTAGGTACCGTATTAACGACCAAATAATAAAAAGTCTGCAAAGGAGGTCCCACGTATTTTACCAAAAGTGGATTTCTGCATTTTTTACGATTTTGTTTGTCCTATATTTCGAGTTAGGTATAAGAAAAATATGTTCAAATGAGCTGTAAATACGTGTTTATGGTTCTTGATATCTGTAATATTTATTTTTGATACAATTTGTATGTCAACTTTTAATTAGTTTTGCTAAAATATGAAGTAACAGGACTAACAAGTTAGAATCATTATTATTTTGTTAAATTATCGTTCTATTTAAAAAAGGATGAATAATTTTAATTGTATAATTAATAATACAGGAAATCATAGGTGATTATTTTCAGTGACCTTCTAAAAGAGGCTTAGAAAATTGATTAAGTGTATCAAATGCGATTATTTCATTTGATTGCAAAAAGATCATTCAACCGATAAGGTTCCTAGTTTAAAATTCAGTATTTTACATCAAAATACTTTAATTAAAGAAAATTAAAATATTTATAATAAATTAGATCCCCTAAATAATAATAATAATAATAATAATAATAATAATTAAAACCTTTTTTTAATAATTGTAAAGGAGTTTTCTTCTGCGCATCGGCTAAACGTTGGAAAGTCTTAAAAGATGAAATCCCAACTTTAACACTTAAATCCCTTTCAGATAATAGATGGGAAAGCAGAATAGATGTGCTTAAAGTTCAAGATCAACTTTGATACCTTGTAACTTCAAAAATTGTTGAAATTTCAAAATATGGTTTTTAAAATTAAATTTCAACACTTTTCTTAAATAATTTGTCAAATTTTGAATTGGTTTGGAAATGGTGATGATCAACTTTGATACTTTGTAATTTCAAAACTTAATGAAATTTTAAAAGGTGGTTTTCAAAATTAGATTTCTATACTTTTTATAAATATTCTGTCATATTCTGAAATTTACAGAACAATTAGTTTGGAAATGGTGATGAAATAAAGGCAACAATATCAAATTCTCAGAAAATTCAAGTTCAATTTTGTTACCTTGTAACTTCAAAACTTGTTTAAGTTTCAAAATGTGGTCTTCTGTGTATGTATGTATGTATTTGGAAAAAAAAAACAATAAATGTATTTAAAAGTAACCTCAAAAAATACTTGATAAATAAACAGAATGGATATACTTTCTTGTGATAATACTCTTTAAATTATTCAAGAAAATCAAAACCGTAAGTCAATCAGAACTTTCGTTCTAGAGTTATCGTGCCGGCATAAATACACACAGACGACCAGACGAAAATTTTTTTCTTGCATTTTCGGAAACATGAAAAAATGTTTTAAAAAATGGTGGTCAGAAAATTTTTCGTCTGCACGAATGGAATACTGAAGCCCCGTAGAAAGGGCCTCAAAATCCTCTATTAGTAAATTAATAATTTGTTAGTATGTTATGTTGTAAAACTAAAATATAAACTAATTTTTTTATAATTTCTGTTTCTTTTAAGGTAAAAATATTTTTAATTCATATGGTATGAAAAGGAGGAGAGAATTTTGCCGCTACCCTAGAAACGGCTCTGCTTCGGTATTTCTTAGATATTTTTTTGGTTCAAGCGTAAAAACACTTATTTTCTTGACAATATTCATATTTATTGTTTTCACACGAGAATGGTGATAAAACCTGTAGATTTTTTCGACCACTGTATATTACGGTTTAAAATTGGAACACAATAAAAGTATGTATGTATAAAGGTTAGAATCTAAACCTGGAATAAAATCATTATAATCGATATTTATTTTTAAAAATAATTTAGTTTTATTTTAATAGAAGCTTTTCAGCAAAAGTTAAAACATTATTATAGGTACCTACATTGTATAGATTGAAGTTGTTCCATTTAAAATAATATCTATTTCAATAAAAAAAAAGATTAACAGTGCCCTGCAAAAACAAATTTAAAACTAAAATAGTATATTATGCAACGATCATGTAATGATGGTTATTAATACACGAGCATTAACCGGGATACGAAACGAGCCAAAGGCGAGTTTCGTATGGTTTATGCGAGTGTTTTAATAACCATTACATGAGAGTTGCATACGCTATTTTTTCTACACCCGATAAATAATCAAGACCTATAAATATTCTATTTATATTGGCATTGAACACAATAACAGTAATTACTCGTATTTCTATAAAAAATTCTACAAAATTGTAATTAATGGTATTACCTTGGGTATTGGTATTACCACAGATTTTTGGGGCAAAATATTTTGTACTGCATTTTCTCCTTTCTCCGATATGTGTGGAGGAGTCTTCTATATCGCTGATATCAGACATTTTAATATTATAATTATCGAAGTTTAGCTATCTACGAAAATTTAATACGTTTTGACAACTAAAACAATTACATAGGAATTTAGGACAAACGTCAAACATCATGCTTGATTGAAAAATTGTAGGTTTCTATTGATTAAAAATCTGTATCATAATGAAAAATCTGTATCATAATGGGTATCATTATGAAACGGATTATGGGCATATAAGTGCATTATTATAATACGGGTGTAGAAAAAAGATATTTTGAAATCGCTATTGTCACATTGACATTGAGATTAGTTTCCGAATTTTCAAATTATTTCAATAATTAGTTAGTTATTCAAAATAAATATAAATTGAATTTTTTTAATTTTTTTTTGTCTTTTGTTATATTTTATAAATAATATTTTAAATGATTCAAGTGAATTATTTGTTAATTGTTTTTATCTTATACGAAATATTTTCAAAATACATTCTAAATCATAAATAATAAAAATTAAATTGGGTATTTTTGTGAAATTTCAGATAAATTCTTCTTAATATCAATAACAATATTTTCATTAAAATTATAACAAATAATAAAAATTCTCGAACATACCTATAAACAATCCATATAACACTGCAGACAGAACTGTCACTACAAAAACAATAACAAGTCAACAAAAAATATTTTGAAAAACTGACGTCGATATCAAGCCAAACACGCAACCTCGGAATCGAATGGACAGGTACGTCGCGGTCGCGGCTTTCTACGATCCTTCACAGGTGAGATTTGCAAGAGGACTAATCGAAGGTGGCTGGCTGGTTGGTGGAGTTACGATCTCCAGCGACCCACATGAATCTTGACTAGAGAAAAAAACAACGATATTTCTTGCAATATTAATAAATCATTGAAAATTAAAAAATTGGTCCATATTTTTACCTAGTATAACTGAAATCAGTGCTGAAAAGTGATCACGTGTAAGTTCTTTGACAATTTTTCTTTTTTTTATTTAATTTTAAGGAAAATTCGGCTTTTTCCTAAACATGCAAGTTGCCACGTGTAAGGCAAAGCACTTCTATTGTTTTTTAATCATTTTAATTATATTGTGAGAAGTCCTTCTCTGTTTTTTTAATAAATCGTTTTTTTTTGTGAAAGTTGTGAATGCTACGTATACAAATTGTTCTCTTTTCGAAGAAGTAACATCACAGCTTATACAATACAGCTCCACAACTCCGTGTCGGCGTCTTTGATCTGGCGGTCGAGAACCAAGCAAGACGGAATGGTGCTATCTCTGTTAGATTCGAGGGAAAAGTCGGGCCCGGATTAAACAATTTTTTTATTATTGAAAAAATTGAAAACCTTGGCGTAATAAGGTTGGTTACATGCCATATTAAGTAAGTTTTGGGAAATTAAATTTTTAATTTGTTTTAAATCTGTCAAATATAATTAGAAACATTATTTAAATATAAATATTACGAAAAATAGCACATCTTTCGGATTAGAGGTAAAATAATTTGTATGTGGCTAGTTAAATCCTCGTTAACAAATGTTTTGAGCTAAAACAGTCACTTCACGACAAATTGTGGCTTGGATCCTTTTTACACCAAGGGCTTCAATTGTTAAAGAATTGTGTCACGCTCGTGGTTGCAAATCAAGTGGTCTCTGGCAAGTGTTACTCTTCGCGCAAAGGGTTTATACCTAGATAAACGAATGCTTTGACTGAGGTCTGGGAACTCTATGGTATTTTGGAATTATAAAGAATTTGTGCTTTTATTTTAACAATATTGGTTATATTTAGATGTATTCTTATTAATTGAAATACAGATTTGTAGAAGTAATACTTTGACAGTTTTTATTAATATAATATATTCAATTTTTATCTGACCATACCGAAGTAGGGAATTTTGAAACTTTATAGTAATGTGAAATTTGAATTACAATATTACAGGATATTACATAATTAGTACTTATTTTAGGTAGGTACTAAATTTGTACTTGGAGAAAGTAATATCGATTTTTATAAGAAAACTTGAAAAGTAAATTAATTTAGTTCCTATTTCTGACGTAAAACTTAAGTTTTGGTTTAAACCAAGAAAACAAATAAATTATAGTTTGTTCAACAAGGGTGGATATGATAGCAATATCACACAAAGACGAAGTTTGAGCACGACGTCGTATGCGGAGTACTCAATCGTCTGATTATGATATGAACAATCCACTCGATATGGTCAGTATATTTTTTCTACGACCCACTAACGAAAATCTACAAATTTAAAAAAATATTTTAGGTTATTTAGACAAAATAACTAATTTTAAAATAATTTACAAAGTTGACTAATTTATAAAATAAAATTAACATGAAAAATTAATTAGTCCTCGGCCTAGATTCGATCCCGGGCTTTTCGCGTGGAAGGCAGATGCTCTGTCCTCATCTTCACCGAAACTTTCAGGACTTTAGTTTTAATACTCGTAATTAAATTAGTATCATGTAGTTTGATTAAAATTTATTTTTTTTTAAATGTGGACACAATAAAAACAAAAATGCTATTATTTATCGAGTCTACACAAAAATTTTAATGTATATTTAATATCAATAACTAAAATATATATTGACAATTAGTTTAACAGAATTGTCACTTATTTAAAAAAATTTAAATAATAGGAGTTGGGTGACCAAAATATGAACTGTGATTTGTAGATTTAATTTTGTTAAAGTGTTCTCACTACCTAAAATGGATATGAAATATATTCGTAGTTGAACGCAATAACATACTTTTTCGTTTTGTAGTATGTGCATAGATTGGCTAATATCCATGCACAGATTACAAAACGAAAAAGTATGCTATTGCCTTCAATTGAACGAATATATTTCATATCCATTCTAGGTAGTGAGAACACTGCAAAAAAAAATAAATTCGCCAATCATCGTTCATATTTTGATCAACCGACTGCTATTATTTTTAAAATTTTAAATAAATGACAATTCTGTCAAACTAATTGTCAGTATATTTTTTAGTTATTGAGATTAAACATACAATAAAATAAGTTATTCTTTTGGAAAACGTTAGCATGGATGACTAAAGGGTATTGGGTTAATTAATTCTAAAAGTGTGGTACAAATGTTATTTTTTGTAGCCAATTCTTCAAAATTATTTTGAAATATCTTTTCAATATTGAATATTAGTTCTACAAATTCATCATTTGACAGTTGCAGATTTCCAAATGTATCTGGATTGGCGTTATCATATGCTTTTAAAAAGCAATAAAAAGAAAAATCATCTAATTCAACGTGATCTTTGTTATATTTAAGACAGGTATCGCAGAGGAGTGGGTCCGCAAGGCTTTTATTAAAAGGTAATCACACACATACCTGATAAAATTTTTCTGTATCAATTCGTCTTTACAATAATTTAGGGTGTTAATAATTTTATCATAAAATAAAATACAAGGTGTTCCATTTAAAAAACATACATTTTAATTTGCCAGGCAAAAACGTGACACCCTGTATATCCAAAGATATTTTTAAAATATGTAGGTATTTTTCAAATCCATATAACTTTTATTTAAAACTTTCTTGCGTGTCTACAACAAAATAATGAACAATAACGCACTAATGGGATACCCTGTATAAATTATATTTTTAACAATGAAAATTTCTTATAATGTGGTACTTATCGGTTTGGGTCCTTGGGAAAACTAAAGAATGTTTTCTTGCAGGTATAACCCTTATTAAAACAGCTTTTGACTGCACAAACAGAATGATGTCTTTTCTTTTTCACTCATTCTACTCATAGCTAAAGAGTCACCAAAATAATAACAGTACCTTTAACTCAAACAAAATCAACGAAATTATAGGCTCCACGAAATTATACAATCAACGAAATTATACGCACGACTCAACACCTTACCTAAGTACGCTTCTGAACACCAAAACCGTCTTTTCCCTTCGAAGGCGGAGCTTAAGCGATGCGCGACGAAATCGACGCAAACCGTTGCCGCCAAGAGAGTGTTTTAGCTGTATTGTTAAGCTGTGGTAACATCCCTGGCCATTAATATACAGTCCACTTACTTTCCACCCTCTCCAATACAACTTCAAATCATATTTAGATTCTTATACAAATTTCTTGTTTTTGATTTGCAAAAGACTGTTTTGTCTTCTTCGGTTGCTTGTGCCACTTTTCTTTTAGAAGGAGAACCATCAATTGGTTGGTAACATTTTGTTCTGTATATCAAAAATAGCTATATATATATATATATTGTAATGATATTCAATCACTACTTCACTTTTTATAATGACATAAACACTTTTATTATGTTATTTACTTTACTTACCAGCTTTTCTCTTTTCCCAGGGGCGGTTCCTTATAAACACAAACACAATAATATTAAGACACCTTAATCTTGTTTCATAAGCTAAATAAAATATTTATTTTATTTATTATTTATTTATTATTTATTTATTATTTATTTATTATTTATTTATTATTTATTTATTATTTATTTATTATTTATTTATTATTTATTTATTATTTATTTATTATTTATTTATTATTTATTTATTATTTATTTATTATTTATTTATTATTTATTTATTATTTATTTATTATTTATTTATTATTTATTTATTATTTATTTATTATTTATTTATTATTTATTTATTATTTATTTATTATTTATTTATTATTTATTTATTATTTATTTATTATTTATTTATTATTTATTTATTATTTATTTATTATTTATTTATTATTTATTTATTATTTATTTATTTATTATTTATTTATTATTTATTTATTATTTATTTATTATTTATTTATTATTTATTTATTTATTATTTATTTATTATTTATTTATTATTTATTTATTATTTATTTATTAATTTATTTATTTATTATTTATTTATTATTTATTTATTTATTTATTATTTATTTATTATTTATTTATTATTTATTTATTATTTATTTATTATTTATTTATTATTTATTTATTATTTATTTATTATTTATTTATTATTTATTTATTATTTATTTATTATTTATTTATTATTTATTTATTATTTATTTATTATTTATTTATTATTTATTTATTATTTATTTATTATTTATTTATTATTTATTTATTATTTATTTATTATTTATTTATTATTTATTTATTATTTATTTATTATTTATTTATTATTTATTTATTATTTATTTATTATTTATTTATTATTTATTTATTATTTATTTATTATTTATTTATTATTTATTTATTATTTATTTATTATTTATTTATTATTTATTTATTATTTATTTATTATTTATTTATTATTTATTTATTATTTATTTATTATTTATTTATTATTTATTTATTATTTATTTATTATTTATTTATTATTTATTTATTATTTATTTATTATTTATTTATTATTTATTTATTATTTATTTATTATTTATTTATTATTTATTTATTATTTATTTATTATTTATTTATTATTTATTTATTATTTATTTATTATTTATTTATTATTTATTTATTATTTATTTATTATTTATTTATTATTTATTTATTATTTATTTATTATTTATTTATTATTTATTTATTATTTATTTATTATTTATTTATTATTTATTTATTATTTATTTATTTATTATTTATTTATTATTTATTTATTTATTATTTATTTATTTATTTATTATTTATTTATTATTTATTTATTATTTATTTATTATTTATTTATTATTTATTTATTATTTATTTATTATTTATTTATTATTTATTTATTATTTATTTATTATTTATTTATTATTTATTTATT